AGAAATAACAATACATGAAGTTTGTTTTCATTCAGAGCGAAGTAGAAAACATTTGATTTTGGAGATTTCCTAAAACTGGATCAAAATTTTCCATGCTACCCTTAATTAGCACAATTTTTGGTTGTTATGGAGGAGACGTTAAACATCTGAGCATGTCTACAAATGTGGAAGTGGCCTCCCAAGAGATTTTTTTAAACTCAGCAGAGTATATGGAAGCTTGTCTTGGTGGTTCTTATGCAGAAGCATGGCGTATGTTGAGGGTTAATAGAAGAATGAAGTTCATTGGATTGACTCCTTGCATTACAAATTGACTTTATTAAATGAATTTAATAACTCTAAAAAGTTGCTGTCACTTACTAAGCACTGTGATGTTTGGTAGTGTGTGAAACAAAACCAGAAGGGTTTATGAAAAAGGTTATTCAAGACCATTTAAGTGAAAGTTCCCATTAAGCTGGGGGAGGGGGGAGGGAGTCTAAAGATGCAAGAGAGAAGCAAAGAGATGTCGCCTAGAAATTTAATGAAACAAAGCAGAATGGGCAGTTCCTTGTAGGAAAGAAAAAAAACCCCAAGTGCTGTCAGGAAGACTTTAAATGTGTAAGAGTTTTGAATTTCAGTAGAGGAAAGATATTTAGGGACTAATGAATAAAGTAATGCTGTATGATGTTTGAAAATAGTGTGATGGAAATGAAGTCAATTCCAGTCCCTACAGTGTATGCTCTGTTATATCATTATCCTGAATTTCAGCATGCAATTTGTAATGCAAGTGGGTTTCCTGGTCAAAACCACTCTATAACAACAGGGTTTTTACAGAAGCCACTTGTAGTGTCATTAATTAAAAGCATTATCTGTTGGAAAACTTCAAGAGTACTACCGCAGTACTATTTTGATTCAGCTGTAAACTTTGAAGCAAAAGCATTTCTAGTTATACCCTCTCTCCAGTTTTTATCTGCTTGGAAAAATTTTGTGTATGACATGAAGGAAAACTATAGAAAGTTGCAAATGGTGGATTTTCTCTGAAAATTACCTTGTTAGCTTTCTGGAGATTAGTTCAAGAGCAATGGTAGAAGTCTTTAAAAAGGAGTCTCTAGAAGGAGAATTATTTACTTGAAGTAAAAGGCCTGGATCTGGTTTGCCATTTTTAAACCCTTGCATGGTATCAGACTTTCCCTGAGCAACTCTTGACATAAGCAAGGGCCTGCAAGAGCCAATTCAAACCTGTGTTGGATTGTAAGTTTAAAAATTGTAATGGTGTCTTTGAAACTTTCATGGTACAGTAGCTCATCACGCTGAAGCCTGAATTTAGGGAAGTAGGAAGCAATAGTGAGACTGAAGTTGATGAGGATAGTATCTGTGTGCTGCCATGTATCTACTATTTTTAATGAATTTCACCTTTTAGAAAACATCTCATCTCTGGCATCTTGCTTTTCATGGCTCATTGTATGGCCAGACCAAAGAGAGAAGCCATCCTCCCGTGGCTCTTGGGTTGACTGTGAAACCCACTGATGTTAGCTCTAGACAGGCTGGCAGGATTGCCCATAGCATGTTACCAGCTCATTGTGGTGTTGTTGCCCATCAGTTGGTGAAAGCTGGAGCTCTCTCCCATTCTGGGTTCTGTTCATTTGTATAAGGTAGAGTCTGGCATGAGCTTTGAGTCTCACGATCAGCGAGAGAAATGATGGTAGCTCTGTGGCTTTCTGTTTGGAAATTGCCATATACACTGACTCAGGAGTAGAAGGAACAGGACTGTATTCATTCATTTTCCTTTTTCTTTCTTCTTTTCATATTCTTTCTCATGATCTCCTACCTGTGAAAGTGCAGGTGATTAACTGGTGGAATTAAATATGTTGGCCATTGTCTCCCCTAGGAATAACAGGAGAGGGTTTCTCTGCCATGTCTAGGCTGTGTGATGTTCAGCTGATCAACAGCATTTCTGAAGATTTTCATTTCCTGTCAATGCAGGATTTTAGTCAGAAAAGAAACACAGAATAAATTTCTGTTTTTAGAGAAAATGAAAATATCCACATGATTACCTACTTTTATTAGAAGCTCATGCATACCTTCAACTATGCTCAGCATAGCAGATATTGCAATTTATTTTTATTTTTTAGATCTCATGTGGATTTGAAGTGAGCATTGTAAAGCAAAGCTGGTCATTTTTTTGTCAGGCAGTTGTCCAGCCTTCCTCACCTGGTGAGAGTAGATGACTTAGAGCTTAACAGGATATAGTGTTAGGTACCTGTAGGTGACGGATTTGAATTTGGTGCAGGTTAGTAACGCTTGAAGTCATTACCATCTGTCTGTTGTTCAGTGATCTGTATAAAATTAGCTGATATTCTTAGTCCAGTTCTTAGTAGACAGGTGTCCACATCATGAAAACTGGCACCAGCATCGAGCTTATTGGCTGTCTCAGCAGAGATGATCTGCTGATAAACAGGCAAAGAAACAAGTAAGCTCCTGATTTCTGGAGGTATGCTTTTCCCTTTTCGGGTTCAGACATGCTGATGGGTGAACATACATGGAGGCAAAGGTTATTGTGTGCTGCTGTGTTGCATTGTCTTTTGGTAAGAGAATATAGCCCATGTATTTGAGGTCTACATTAATTTTTTTTAAATGCCCTACCTAGTTATGCTGGCTTCTGAACAAAATTCTTACATATAGCAGGTGTCCTCAGCTGTTCTTTCTGATAGAATGAAACAAGAGAACATGCCTCATATGATGGCTTTTTTTTTCTTTTTTCCCTTCACTTAAAAAATGTCAAGTCTACTCAGGCAGCAAGAATTTGGAAAGAGAAAGCACCAAATCTTTCACATATAGTTATATTTTAAAAAAAAAATCTGTAGCAACTACTTTTTTTTTTTATATGTCGCTGTAGGAGCTGATGTAATACAATTTCATATGGTTTATATAGCCTGGGACTGATCTCATAATAGCAGTAATAACTGCACTTAGCATTTAAATTGTTCTTAGAATGGTGAAACCTTTGCACAGACTTGTTTGCTAATGTTCTCGATTAGTTGCGTGACTCTTGATGACAAAATTTGCAATACACAGAAAGCCTGTGCAGGATTTGACTGTTTACATACAGTGGAGATCTCTGCAGTGACAGTTGCCTATGGAGACGCAGGGATAATGGAGCCCAAAGTCTTTCACTGGGAGCTGTGCTGCAGTTCAGCCCATATGTTGACATAAAATGCATGGGAGAGCTGTCTTATGTTCCTCTTCACAGGGTTAGGGCCCAGCATTGCTTCTTCAGCCCACATGTAACATCTATAATACTGAACTATTCTGGCTTTTTGCAGGGGTTGCTTTTAATCCTGCCTGAGCTTCTTTAAAGTGTATTATCTTGCAAGCAGTGATTCAGACTTAACTGTTCCCACTGCAGTGTGTAGGACTCTCCTCCTATTTCATTGACATAAAAATACACACCAGTATGTTATAAATAGCTCTTCAGCGTTCCTGAAGATTTATGGTGGATAGATACTTTCTGAACATCTATTGAGGGATAAGCCCAAATGGTCATATTTAAAATTAATTGGCCTTCTTACAACTCACTGCATTTTATTGCCAGTAATAGGGTGTTAAAGATTCTAATAGGATCTTCTGCTTGCAGAGCCTGAGTTGATTAAGTGGTGCAACACATTCATTTTGGAGGGCTGCTTAAATCACCAGTAAAAGTAGGTTAGGTGACTACAGATCACCTCCTCGTTGACAGGAATTCCCACGATTAATAATAGTTTAAAAAAGAAGCAGCAGCATGACTCACTATTTATACCCCCACTATTGTTACCAACTGGAGTTATGTTTTCTTCTAGAACAAGAAGAAGAAGAAGGGATAGGTATTGGTGTCACCATAGATACTCCTGGCTTGGCATTAAGTACTGGAATGTGCTAAAAAATCCAAGATTTGTCATTTCACAACTGTTAAGGCCAATGTAGGTGGAAGCTGTGGAGCATGACAGGGCTGCAACTGGAGAGAAAGCATTAGGGAGATAATCAGCTTCGCTGTCCCTTGCTGCTGTCTTCACTCCTACCAGACACTGTACTGTTTGACCAATGTTTTGGCTGCAAAGCTAGGACTTTTATGCCAGTACTAGCTGGACAACTGCTATGACATGTAAACTATTTCTAGATCCTCATTTATCTGCCATTTTCTAGTGGACTAAAATGTGATTTTTAACATTTGTTTTGTCACTCTTCTGCCATCATGTTGGGCAAGCAGCCAAAAGTAAACATTACTTCGTGGCCTCATTATTGTCTGAGAGTTCCTGCTTCCTTCTTTCTTGTGGGTCATACAAATAAATAAAGGTTTGAGAACAGAACAGCAGTTACTGAAGCGTCCACTCAAACATAGTGTTAGTCCTGTGCTGTAGTATTTCTAACAGCATTGAGCCATAGGCTTGTTGATTGGGAGATTAGCTTCATGATCATATCTCTCCCCTTCTTTCTGAGAAACTGCCAAAAACAAAGTTGTAAAAAGCCTCTGAACACTTATTTCACATGAAGCTGTAATCATTTAATAAAACAAGAGAAATCAATGTCTGAGGAGAAGCAGCTCATGCCTGTGGGAAAATTCTATCCCTTTGCTCAACTTGGTATGATTATAAAATGACAGTGTTCTGTGAGCTAAAGGAAAGAATTATCCTATCAGAGGAAAAACAGTTAAAGGTTTGGGGTTTATTTAAGGACTATTCCTATTTAATTTCTTAGAACTAACAAGTGAAGCAGTTCCTGAAAGGGATTAGTCTCTGTTCTCAATAATGAGAGACTGCTGAATATTGAACTCAGCTCCTGAAAAGGGTTCTTGCAGGAACTGAGTACGATATTCAGTATTCTCTTATTGTTGAGTAACAAAGACTAATTCCTGCATTCTCTTATTAAAGCTTTGTGGGGAAATGACTTTTTCGTTTCTATAGAACTGATTTCAGAAATATTTCAAATTCAAGTGAAATAAAGGCTTATATATTTAAAAACAACCCTAGATAAATTATAGTAGTGCGATTATGGGAGGTCAGTTGCAATTGGATCTCTTATCTTGCTGTGTATAAGGATGATTAGGCTTTTCTCTCCTATTTTCTAATGCTGTAGATGAATGTCTTCACTTCTAATCTCTTGGAGCCCTTCTGCTCTCTAGAAATAATTATATTCAGGAAATGTCACTGGACTGTGTTGTGAGTAAAATTAGTGATCTAACCACTCATGGATTTCCCTGACCTGATGAACACTTTGCTATTTGTAGAAAGGGGAGCAAGTTCATTTGACATGTTCAGAGAGCAACCCATTGTAAATCAAGTGGCGTGGTATGAAAGTCTGTTGTCTGGAACTTGGGACTTGGTTCTTGAAACCTCTTCAAGACAGACATGCCAAATGATCCAACTTTCCAGGGACCACTGAGCTACCAACTGCAGTAGGGTGAATTTCCTTTATTTTATGTGAAAATATGTCTTTCTGTGAAACTGTTAGCTTCCAGCAAAGTCGGTGTTTTGACATTTAGCTGAAAAATTCTTAGCTGTTCTTCTCTACATATTTTTCAAACTCTTTAGTAAAATAATTCTTACATGGTTTTATTTTACTTTTCCTTCACAGTTTGACACTCACTCTAGGTGCAAGAAGTATAGATACCCTGTTTTCCTGTTGCTTGTTTCTTTTATTCCTTTTACCATTTGATTCAAAGTAAGATCTGTGAAGAGTGATGGGGTTTTTTTTAGTTATTTTTATTTTCAAGAGGGACATACTCTTCTGCTGCTAACTCTCTTGATTCTTTCCTCCTTTTATTTTTCAGAATGCAAATATATGATAAAGCCTGAATTAACAGACTTGAGCCATTTATCCTCTTTAGAAATATGAGTTGTAGGGGTTTAGAAACTGGTTGTGAATTTGTAGATCATACATGTTTTTGAAACAGATACTGTTTGGTAAGACTGTCAGTAGATCTTTTTAGTTTTTATTTTATTTTATGATGTGAGTTAATTACCTGAATTAAACTGTTAGCAAATGCTTTGATTACAGAATCATCATAGCAGCTGGTAATGATTAGCAGCTTTCTAGCCTTATACATTGGGAACAGACCTAAATCCCAGTGAAATTAGTGTGTGTGTGTGTTCTTTGGTTTAAGGAAAAGTGTAGAGTGTACTGTAGAATGAATGCCTGTCTGAAATTTCAAGGCAGTAAAGGAAATGATATATTAACATGAAACTGCTTTCTCTGATGGCTGATTTGCTGTATGCAGCTGTGAGAGTGCAAGACCTCTCTGCTCTCTGCGCTGTTTTTAACAGTGTCCTAAGGATCACTTTTTTCAAGACAGGCTTTGTAGCACCATGTGGATATAGGTTCAGACTCTAAAAAAATGCTTAGGCATCCAACTTTTCTTTTGAATGTTTGTATTAAAGCACTTAAGTACTCTCAGGAAATGGGTGCTGTTCTTGATCCTGCAACACTAAATTGCCCAGTGCATGGCATGCTAATGTCTGTAGTCCAGTTATTACCAGTAGGCCCAAATATTAGTAATAAATGCCTTGGGGAATGTGAATTTCCTGAATTCTGTGCTTGTTGTTAATTAGCATGGTGTTTTCAGTGAGCCTTTTAATTTTTTGGCATCAGTTTTCTTAGCCGTTGAGTCAACATTGGTTTTCTGAATGGGGATTTGCATGGAAATGCTGCTTTTGATTTACTTATATGGTAAAGGTATTTGAGCAGTGCTTCTTATTAGAGACTTATCTGAATTGACCTCTGTTTGCATTTTGCTCTTGCTCATCCACAGAACCCTGAAAGCTGTAACTGTTCACACGCCAGGATCATTTATGGGAATTGTTGACCTGCAAAATTCAAATTTTCTTGCTCACTTCCTTTTCATACATTAGGTCCTGTTACTGAAGTCAAAACAGATATATATGTCACCAGTTTTGGACCTGTTTCTGATGTAGAAATGGTATGTATTTCTGGGATGAAAATGCCGTTTCCTGGTTCTGAGAAACCATTAACTGCAGTAGGAGTGGATGCTTCATCTGTACTGTTCTGTCAATCATGCAAAATAGGCAAGATTAGTAACAGCTTAATTTACAGGTTATAATTAGATACATCAGGCCTGATTCTGGTCACATTTTCAGTGGGTTTTGGCTGGCTTAAGGAATTCACTTCATAGGATTTAAAATGGATTTTCACAGTGTAGAGGCAGAATCAGGCCTTGTAGGGAGTGTCTAAGTCAGTCTGCTGTGGGGAAAATGTGTAATATCTTTGAAACTGCTCTTTGTTTCTGAAACTTATGTTATTCTCAGGTGAATAATAATGACATCACTTCAGAAATACTTGTTGACGTTTTCATTTCAGATGAATGCTCTTTGCTGATCTTTGTGCTCCTTTTAGCATCACTTTCAGCAAATCTTTGACTGATAAGAGTTTTCATAAATATCTGCAGAAATTGAATGTCCAAGTGACATGCATGAAATAGTAACAGAGGAGAAATGTTGCATTTGCATGTTCTGTTATTTGTGCCTGAATGGCTTTTGCTTTCAAGGTCAAATCAAGCAAAGCTCTCATCAACTTCTAAAATAAAGTCATACAGTAGTTTATTTATAAAATATCCAAGAAATCTCATGGAAGTAACCCAGCCATATTTGCTGAACTGAACATCTTCATGGGAAAGGCAGTTTCAGGGTAGTAATTTTCTTCCCATATAGTGCTGTCATTCACTTTGTGGTGCACCTAATTTGCTTCTATCATGTGGAAAGGTGTGTGATAGCAAGATGTTTTTTCAAGGGCTACATTCATGACAGCAGTCTCATGTTGACATGCATCTTACCCCTTCACTGGTTGTTTTGTGCAGTATGATGTTTATCAGTGTGACAAGGGGTGCAAGAATCTGGTCCCAAGGAAATCTAGTAATATGTACCTTAGATCTACAATGAGGGCTGCAGGTCATCTCTCAGGTTTCATGAAGCATTTGATAATGGTGCCACGTGGGAAGTTACTAGTTATATTGGAGAAGGCAATAGTGAGAACATGGACTGAAGTAGTTAAGGAACTTGCAAAAGGAAAGTTTACAGAAGATATTTCCCCTTTCACTATTAAGGATTAGTTAGGAGGCTATTCAGGTATCCAGCAATTATTTTTGAAATACGTTTTAGTTAATAAATCCGTTAGTGACCCAATGTTATCTGAATGTGGCTGCACACATAAAACTCACTGCAACAGTGAAGTGTGATTTGGTCTTAATACAGGGGATGATCAAAACATCTTTTCAGTTGCTTTGGTACCCCGTGTAATGAAAACAGTTGAAATCTTATATTACAAAATCTGTCACATAGAAGCTAATAACAGAAACTGCTACTTATAACGTGTGAAGTCACCAGCAAGAGATGACACCAGAAAAGACACTTTTTATGGATTAACTGTAAACCACAGTGGAGGATGCAGTCCTGGAAAAGAAGACAAATATAATCCTGAAATGCATTACACTAGTACACATGCCTCCTTGCCAATGCAAATAGGTATGGCCTTACATGTAGTTTCAATGGTAACATTATGCAGAAGAGTTTGAAATGAAGTCAGAAAACGTTTGGCTTAACAACAAAATCACAACTATAAGTTAGAAAGGACTTAAAGCTTTCTGTGATACTTTCTCCAATGCCACATAATGGTTCGTTTCCTTGTGAAATGCTCTAGCTTCCCAAGGTGAGAAATGCATTCCTTCATCCATCCATTCACATATGATTTCTCATGATGTGTCTGTGTCTGTAATTCTGCAGTTGTTTGCATGTTTTCTCTGAAGTATTTAATGGCTTTTCTGAGGAAGTTAATGGGATAGTTGCATAGTTTAAAAAAGGTCTATATGTAATTTATTATCCATGTTTTGTGGGCATAGCAAAGGAGTTATTTAGCCTTCCTCAGTTAAAAGGTTACTTTCCATGAGAGGAAATTAAGTTTTCTTTCCTAACTTTAAAGTGAAAGTAATAATTTGTCCTGGTATTTTTAATTTAGCCAGCAGCAGCAAATCTATGGATATATTTTCTTTAAAAATCTGTTGGCACTTCTTGTCAGAGATTGTTTTGTTTCCAGTTATATGCTTGACTACAAATTCAGTTGCCTGCTTCCTGCAACCTAATTAGATTAATTATTCTGTAGTGACTAGATGTGCAGCAATTTATTGATACGACTACTGTAAGAAATTAAGCTATGAAGAAGTACACAAGACAGTTTAATTGGCTGAAATATGTTTGTGTAGTGGACTTAGGATTTTCTTTACTAATGATTCCTTTACTTCTGAGGGATTTCTTCTTTTACAGGAAACACACATGCAAACATGCTCTTTGTTTTTTCTGCAATTTAATACAGGAATATACAATGGATGTCTTCTTTCGTCAGACATGGGTAGATAAAAGATTAAAATATGATGGCCCTATTGAAATTTTAAGACTTAACAACCTGATGGTTTCAAAGGTGTGGACTCCTGACACTTTCTTCAGGAATGGGAAAAAGTCTGTTGCACATAACATGACAGCCCCAAATAAACTCTTCAGAATAATGAGAAATGGCACCATCCTGTACACAATGAGGTATCTAATGTGTTTGTTTGACTTCTTACAATTACTGTATGCAAAAGTTATACTGCCTAGACAAAATGGCAACCAGAGACTATTTAATTTGTTCCATTATAGGCTTACAATAAGTGCAGAGTGTCCCATGAGATTAGTGGATTTTCCCATGGATGGTCATGCTTGTCCTCTCAAATTTGGGAGTTGTAAGTTGCAATTATGAAATTTCTTGTAACTACACAATTTAAATAATAGAAGTAAATTTTGAGCAATTATTAGACTTTCTGAATATATGCAGATATGTCTTGATACACAATCCTTATGCAGACAAAACTCCTGTTAAGTTCCTTGAGAATTTTGTTTAGGTCCTCAGAAATTAAACCCACAGAACTGAAAAGCAGGTAGTGATTCAGCTATTATGTTAAACCCCACTGTTCTGGCTATACAGTTGCTTGACATACATAGTTTTTCTTGGTTCTTGGGGAAGGATTGGGTGTATTAAGTGAAGTGAGAGATTCTCTTGAGAAGACAAAGAGGGTGAGATCCATCTGTACTTAAAACAGCCAGGTAAAAGGCATCTAGGGAAGCAAGTTGTTTGACTTTCTCTACAGGTAGTGGAAGCACATTGGCATCCTAAGATAGATGGAATCATAGTATCAAGGATGGAAGAGACCTTTAAGATCATCAAGTCAGGCCATCAACCTAGCACTATCACTGTAACCCCTAAACCAGTAAACCATATCACCCGTTGCCAGATCCAGGCATCTCTTAAACACCCCCAGGGATGGTGATTCCACCACCTCCCCAGGCAACCTATTCCAGTGCCTGACCACCCTAACAGTGAAAAAAACAAATTCAAATATCTAATCTGATTCTCCCCTGTCTCAGTTTAAGGCCAGGTCCTCTAGTCTTCTCACTGTAGGCATGATAGAAGAGACCATCCCCCACCTCACTACAGCCTCCTTTCAGGTAGTTGTAGAGAGCAGTGAAGTCACCCCTGAGCTGCCTCTTCTTGAGACTGAACAAACCCAACTCCCTCAGCTCTTTGTCATAAGACATTTTCCAGACTCTTTTTTGAGCCTTGTTGCCCTTCACTGGACTCACTCCAGCACCTCAATGTCCTTTTTAAAGTGAGAGGCCCAAAACTGAACACAGTACTCAAGGTGCAGCCTCACTGATTCCAAGTACAGGGGGATCACCTCCCTAGTTCTGCTGGCCACACCATTCTTGATAGAGGCCAAGGTGCCGTGCTCATAGTTTTTCCTTAACAGAAATTTAGCTTATATAGCTGGGTGTTCAACCAAAAAAGGGGGTATTGAAGACACTGCTATGATAGGATTTTTCATCCCTGTTACAGTGAGACTGAAGACCAGGTACTACATGATTTGGTTTTGGTATCAGCTGAATGATAGGGGTGCTTTGACAGTGGGGTCTCCTCCACAGGCATATTTCTTCAGGCAGAATCACCAGCCAGCAGAAATTGTGCTGAACACTAATGTGATATATTCTGCAGTGAAACTTGAAATAACATGTAGGCATTTCAAATGTAAGACTGATTTGATATAATTTTAACAGGAGTTTGGACTGTGTAGGGATTGAATGCTAGCCCTAAGTTATGTCTTTTGCATTAAATGTATAATGTTTCTTTGTGTGTGCTTATTTTGGGGCTGTTGTGAATTTTTTACTGACCTATGGTTTCTGGCAAATATTTTAAACAGAAGTTTAAAATATTGTAGTTTTTAGTATAATCATTCTTTTCTGTAAGGAAATATGCACCCAATCTCCAAAATGTATCTTCCTTGTACATGCTCTTTTTTTTCCCCTAGATTAGTATATCTTAACAATAAAACTTTAGATAGAAGTTTCTAAAATAAGTTAAACTTGCATGCCCAGTAAGGGCTGATCCAGAAAGAACTTGTGTTTAGTCTTCACATCCATACATGAATTGAATTTATGTGTGACACTTAGCTGCTATTTGTTCTCCTCTGAGGGTGGCTTTTGGGGGTAACTTGACATGAACGGTATCTTCTAAAGTTGTTGATTTGAGTTTTACTGTTCGGTTTCAGTAGGTTTGGCTTGGGCTCTTAGTGAGGTATGAGGAAAAATTTCCTATTTATGCAAATTGATGCTGTGTTGTAGATGCTTATCCAAAGAGTGAAATGATTTATACCTGGACAAAAGGACCTGAGAAGTCAGTGGAAGTTCCTGAGGAGTCTTCCAGTTTAGTTCAGTATGACCTGCTTGGGCATACGGTATCCAGTGAAACTATTAAATCTATTACAGGTAGGAATCTCATCAGTAAAAATCAACTTGAGGTAAAACTAACCCTGTAACATTGCTTGGAGCTTTTTTTTTTTTCTTTCCTTCCTGTAAGGTATTCTACTGAATGTCATGGAGTATGCATTAAGGGCTGAGAACGTAAATCTGAATTAGGTTTCTGTCCTTGAGATTTACATTTGCAGATTCATTACAGTAGATTGCGACAGTCTTTCAGAAAGCTAGAATGAGATCATTACTCTGAGGGACAAAATGAGCATTTAATCACTGCTTAAAATGCAGTTTGAAGAGTCAAGAGGATGCCTGGGTGAGGAAGTAATTTCTCAGCACTGTATCCACATTATGTGCAAAAGACTTCCTTTGTTCGGTGGTGCAAACAGCTCGGGATAGAAGTACAGCATACAGAATGGGTTATTAAAGCCATAAAAACCCTCTAGTCAGATAAGGATAGGCACAAATGCATTAGTCACAATAGATACTTCTGCTGATTTGTGCTGTAAGAAATAAGGCAAATGGCAACTACAGGCATCCGAAATGAGTGGAGTATCACTGATGAGCAGTGTGGTGGTAAACAAGCATATTCCCAAAATATTTCTAAAATTTGGAATCATTTTCTAAGCATCAGCAGGTTTGGGTGTTGCGAGATGGTCAAAATGAAAGATAAATCAAATATTTTGGATGTATGGCTCGGTGGGTATTTTACGCAAAGATAAAATGATGTTTTGCAATACACTGGAAATATACTTCTCAGCATATTGATTATTATGAATTTAAAAAATTTCCTTCCTGTCCCCAAAAGGCTCATTCTGTAGTGCTTTGTTAAGACAGTTTATTCAGTTTATGGTAAAAATGCTGGTTTATCTGTTTGTTAATACGAATGAAAACATTTTAGATAAATTAGACTTTTTAATTCTTCTCTATGGTTTGCATTTATTTAATTATCATAGTGGTGCTGACATATAAACCTATTAAAAGCTGGAAAGTTTGAATTACATTTAATGTGTATCATTGTTCTTATTGTTTTATTTGGCAGGTAGGTACCACAATGTTATGGATACTATGGTAGGTAGATAACGTGTGTCTTGGGACTGTCTTCGTCAACAGCTGCCAAAAGGATTTTTAAAATCATGTTTATACTGTAAAATGTAATCCAGTATTAACTGTACATTTGTAGTATTTTTCATATCAGCTTCTGGATGGCACTGTAAGAACCTACTCTTGCCAGGATTTTTGGTTAAAAACTTTCATTCATTCTTGTTCTTAGAAACTTATCTTTCTGTACATGTTAAGTGGTATGAATAGCATCATCTTAAACTATCCTAGTTGAGAATCTGAAAGACTTATTCTGCAACAGAAATTTAATACACTGCAAAATATATTCTTTTTTTCCTTTTAGGTGAATATATTGTTATGACAGTTTACTTCCACCTCAGACGAAAAATGGGTTATTTTATGATTCAGACATATATCCCATGCATTATGACCGTGATCCTCTCTCAAGTTTCATTTTGGATAAATAAGGAATCCGTTCCAGCTAGAACCGTGTTTGGTAATTACTTCCTTTTTTACTTTTTCTTGTACTTGCTGTTTTAATGACTTTCACTAGAATAGGCTTTTTTAGTGCCTTGGGGTATACTGCCTCCATACTAGTGCAGAAACAAGGGAATAATGTAACTTCAGAGGAAATTTTGCTCTTGATGTATGAAGAATGTTGTTATGTAAATCCTTGGAATCTGAAGAGAAACTTGGAATATATAACCTGAATGGTGGCATGGTTGTCTGTTGCAAATGCCTGTGCAGCTCTTAGGGGAGCAAACTGGAGAGACCTGACCTTAAGTAATAGGGTCAGGTTCTTAGTCTACATCCAGAGCAGGTTTATCCTCCAGTGGACAGTAGTGTAAGTCCTTGAACTTGCACTTATATAGAATACTTGTAAAATAGATTTGTTTGGAATGTGCGAGATGTACAGATGTCTTGTTATGAGGTATCTGTGTCATCAGTGGAAGCTTACTATGAGTAAGGCTTAGATCCTGTTACTGTAATTTCATGTTTAGTGCTCTTCTTTCCTTTCTGCTATTGCCATTATGAAAATGAATTACAAAAGCAAAATGATCACAAGATATTAAAATTGCCCTCATCAAAATACAGCTTGAATGCGATGCTACAGTGAACTCTGAAAATAAAAAGCAGAATAGCTTCTATGGAAGACAAAGCGTAAGAAATTAAATGGAAATATTATTCCTAACAAAGAAATAGGATAAAAAAAATTTAAAAGCAGTCTTTATAGAGCAGTGTCTTGACTTTATGATGTGCTATAGTCTAAAGCAGAAAGAGAATGTTCTACAGAAAGCCTTTCTGTAGATAGATGCTGGCAAGAGTGATAGGAATTAATGCTTCTACATGATGGCCCACTCAGACATGTAAGTGGAGGCAGAACACTGTTTTGTATCACAAATGAGACAAAGTTAATGATTAGTTACAGGAGAAACAGCCTGCAAACCTCCTGTAAACCTAATAAGAACCTCACTAGCTTTCAACTCAAGCATTTCATTAGGCAAACTAGTATATCACTTTGCATGCCTTTGAATAATGGTACTTTTTTGAAGGGAGTATTGCCATGAACTGGACATACAGAATTTGTGTTTACAGACCAAATTAGATAATGAAAAGTGTACAGATTATAGAGTAATATATGTAATTATATCTCTATGTGAAACTGAATAATAATAATGTTAATATTAATAAAGTTTGGATATCCACTAAATTACAGATAAGTCACTAAAAATACCTTTGAAAGCAAATTACTTAAAGTATGGCAAAAAGTATCTAGTTTTAAGGCAAATTCCAACAGGTACCCTGTTTTTTAAAGGCTTTTTTAAAGAAAAAAGGAGATAGGGAAGAGATAGGAATGAAGCCAGAATACCTGCTATGGTACCAGCTTTCTAGAGGAGCTGTCAGAAGAGCCTAACCAAAAGATCATTCCATTGGGCACTGCATGATTAGGGAGAACTTGGCAAATTTAACAGATGAAGGATACCCAGGGAACTAAGGTATATTGATCCATGATTTCTGCCGTCAGAGCTTCAGACACCTGAAATCTGGTGATTGTGTGAGATTGGAAAGACAGCAGTAATTTTAAAGCAGATTTTAAACATCAAGTTACCACATTTCTTTAAATTAAAATGCAGTTAATATATTTTGATGTGGTTATGTGCATTTCTAATCAGAAGCTTGTAAGTATTTAGCTTTGTGTAATTGCAGTTCATGTGTATATATTATATTTTTGCCAGAACTTAATTCCCTATCCTGTGTAAATCCAAATGGCACATATCCAGAGGCAGTTGCAAGTCTTGCAGAAGAATAATTTAATAGGGAAAAATCTGATAAAGTCTATGTCAGTAAACTATAATACTGTCACGGCCTACACTTTATATTTGGGGAATGTTTGGTGATTCAATTCACTTTACCCTATTTCTACATCTATTAAACAAATGTCTTTAGAAACAATTTAGACAAACCTTTTGCTCAAAGTGGACAAAGGTCCACTCAGGACCTCAGGAAGGATAGGGCTAAGCAGGGGTTGGTCTCCTCCAGGAAAAAGAAACTTTTCAGAATTTTTTTTTTTCCTCAGACTTCTACATTTTTATGGTGTATTTCAACACCTTCCCACTGAGGAAGGTTTTGTGAGCTTGTATCTGTGTTTTTTATTCTCCCAAGTTTGCTCTGAGATATCCTTTGTACTTTCATGAACTGGCTCTTTTTTCTTTTTTTTTCTTCTTTAGTTGGAAATACTAGTTTCATTGTGATGAGTTCTCTCTATGGTAGTGTCTAGGTGAAGCTTTTTTGTATCAGATTACCTGGATGGAATACCACCATTTAGCAAGTAGGGAGTGTGAGGAATCTGTTGAAAAACACGTTCTTAATTATGTTGAACTCTTCGGAGCATAAGAATTACATCTTGAATTAGAATGGGTGCAGTGTTCTTTTCATAAGAATAAAGACATCTCCATTTGTAGTCAGTCTTCCTTGAAGTTGTCATGCTAGGACTTACACAGTGTTCATTGTATACGTGGTATTTTACTTTTGTATGCTCTGGGATATTTTGGATGAACAAGGAAAAGTTCCATACCTTGGTTTTATACAGCATGTATTTGTGTTTGAAGTACTAGTATGAAGGGGTTATATTCTGAGCTCAGTGTTCATGCCTGTACACTTTAATTAAAAAGTTGTTCTTTAAGAAGATGAAATTCTAATTAAATTTCATTGGTTGACTAGTAGCAGAAGGCTTTAATAAAAAAAAAAGGTGATGGTTTCTTAATTAACAGAGTTGTTAACATATTATTCTAGTATTCCTTAGCACCAAAATAATTTCCTGTGACTTAATGGCACCTGAATTACAAGTGGGATCAGAGGAACAGGTGTGGAATAATACGTGGCATTCAGAACTCTTCACAGGAAAGAATGTTTTTGTTGCGGTCTGAGGAGCACTCCCCAATTTAACAACTTAAATTATGTACAAATGTTTAGAAAATAACTTGTAAGAAAATTCTGCTGAACTCGATATGGAAAAAATACAAATGTCCTTTTAAAAACTAGTTTTGTGGGCATAGCTGCTCATGGATATACAATGATTGCCATGACTTAAATCTAGTGCACTATTCACAAGCAGTAGGGGAAGACTCAAGTGATTAAAAATTCTTTGTTTGAAGCTGCTTGCTGGTTCTCACTTTGTTTTACTTTGATTCAGCTGTGCTTTTGCTTTATTTCTCTGAAGGAATAACCACAGTGTTGACAATGACAACACTGAGCATCAGTGCAAGACATTCACTGCCAAAAGTATCCTATGCTACTGCCATGGACTGGTTCATAGCGGTTTGCTTTGCCTTTGTGTTCTCTGCTCTTATTGAGTTTGCTGCTGTCAACTATTTTACTAACATTCAAATGGAAAAAGCCAAAAGGAAGACGGTAAAGTCCCTTCTTGAATTTCCAGTTGCTCCAATACCAAGAAAAAGAAGTACAGAAGAAACATTCATGGTATGTTTTTAGCTTACACAAATATTTTCTGTCTTTTTGGTAGTGCTTTGCAGTAAAAACAGGCCTTTGACTTCCTCTCAGGTTCCCTCTGAGCTCACAATGCAGTGTAAGTCAGCTTAATGGAAGACTAATGATGCACTATACTCAGTTATAAAAACCTGTAAACCATGATTTAGTTCTTACTTGTGTTACTGAATAAACTCAGGAGAGAGGAGGAGGTTATGTCCATCTGTACCTGCAGTCTATTCTGTTTATTTGTGTTTTGGTCAAGGTCAGTTAGGATGGGTATCTTGAGGACACTTTGTTTCCTCTTGCATGTTGGTTCAACTCAGGAGAGAGGAGGAGGTTATGTCCATCTGTACCTGCAGTCTATTCTGTTTATTTGTGTTTTGGTCAAGGTCAGTTAGGATGGGTATCTTGAGGACACTTTGTTTCCTTTTGCATGTTGGTTTGGAGTGTACTGATTATACAGACCAAGATAGTACATATTATATGGGCAGCATGTTATGTGACTAATGTCTTTAATGAAAATAAGCTAAATCAAGTTGTTTCATGGAGCACTTCCCTAGATATCAGAGTTATCCTTGCATTGCATGTGTTTCTTATCTAGAGTTTTCTTTCTTTATCAGTTACAATTTCAGGAATTCTTGAACCTTTGTGTCTACCACAGATAAAATTTTTATGTAATTTGTGTATCTTTGCGCAGGAGTTCACCTCAATTCCTAAAAAGATTTTGGTGCTCTGATTAACGAAATACTTTTCTGCTTTCATAGTGCTTTGGATTAGGTGTGACTTGTGTGGTGGCTGTCTTAGTGTGTGAACCAGTTAATAAAGGATTGATCTGATTCTAGTTGAGCTCACTGGTGATTCCCCTTTCCTTCCTTTTCCCATGCCCATATCCTTACTTTCTGCTGCATCTATTCATAAGACACGCAGCTAACAAAGTCATTACAGCACCATATCAGCCACACAGTAGGCCAGTAATTTCCAGCCATGACTGACTCGTGGCAACACCACTCAAGAAGTGAGACGCTGACAGTAGCGTTGTAATTTACTCTTCCTGTCAGGCTGACTTTGTAATTTCCTTTGGCTGAGCCATGATTTAAGAAGTGCTGTTTTAGACTAACTCTCGTTAATTTTGTCTTCTGTCTCTTTTCACATCTCATTTGTCTCCTTCCCTATTCATCTGCTCATTTTTTCCTTCCCACCCCTTCCATTTTCTATCGCTGCTCAGCTGCTGTCCACCCACTTCCATTTTTCTTTCTCTTCTTTGCTCTCCTACTGCGGATTGTTAAATCTCCTAGTTGTGTTGTTCTGTTAGCTCCCATTTCTGCTTAGGATAGATGTTTGTTATTCCACTTCCATTTTTCTTTCTCTTCTTTGCTCTCCTACTGCGGATTGTTAAATCTCCTAGTTGTGTTGTTCTGTTAGCTCCCATTTCTGTTTAGAAGGATAGATGAAGAGTTTGTTATTTGTCATTCCATTGGCTGCTAGTAAGAGACAGGCACAAGAAGTATGTTTTTAGTAGCATGTAGTTCACCTTGTGCATAGAGGTATTAGTGCTGTTTGTTTATGCTAAGCTTCTTGATTGTGCATGAAGTTTAGTATGGTATCTTGGCTGCTCCTGAGGAATGTTAATAAACACTCCTTTGGTGGTAGGTTTTATTTGCATCCACAGGAAAATAAATTACATAGACAGTTTAATCCTAGGTTTATTTATAAGATTTGATTTAAAGCAAAAGGAAAAAATAGTAGTTTTCTCAGGTAGCTTAACAAAACTTTTTTCTCAAGGAGGCTTAACAAAACTTTTGATTCATGCTATTAGTTGGTAGTGTACCATTCGTACACATTCTTGAGAAACATCTGTCTCTTTTTTTCTGTGTTTTGGTGGGTTTTAAAATATTATTTTAACAACAGCAGCAACAGAACCCAACTTGAAAGCTAGATAAAATGAGACATGAAGAGTTCTATTCCACCACTTAATGAATACAACTGTGATAAATGTGGTAGTGTGTTCACAGGTTTGGGCATTTTGAAAGTGTCAAGGGTGCAATATACTTTTTCAAAGTTATGAGTATGTGAGTGAGTGATACTGTCGATCGTGCCTTGAAGTGTTATTTTTTTCATGGCTTTTTCCCTAATTTTGCCTATGCTAAGACTTGAGGTTTTGCTCTTTCAGGACAGATGTACAAGGTGAGTCCATAGGTGCTCTTATAAAGGCTTAACTGTTGTGCAGTCCTTTCCATGACTTGAGGATGACTTCTAGTCTCCTGCTGTGCAGAACAGAAGCTAATATTGCTGTTCTAATTCACTAGAACTTAACATGGCTGTTAGACTCAGCTTTCCAATCAGACATGTAACAGATTCCTTGCTATATTTTACTTTAAAAGACTGATCTAGAATTTTCTTATGCCTTATTATGAATCAGACTTTTTTTCCTGGACATATCCAGTCTAATCAGTGCTGATTTAATAGAGGTAAGGAAGTGTCAACTTCTTTATGAGTTTGTGGTGCACAAAGAATGCAGGACAGTAGCCTGACTGTAGTAAGCACTGTTTCTTAACATAAAGACTGCACATTTTATCTCCATAGCTAAATGACAGACTTTGATTTCTTAACTCAGTTAATGTTTAGAAGAATTCTGTACTGCGTTGCCACTTTTGTGTTAGAAATTCTGTTGGCAGCAATACAATTGCCAGAGCTCAAGGAAAAGTTGTATTTTAGACTTGAAACTTTGTTTTTGAAACAGACTTTGCTATACTGGTAAAGTTGCCAGTCTCCCAAAATTAAAAACTTTCACTTGGCCTAGGGAGGAATTGTGTGTTAATTGGGAAAGAAGATGCCTGAGTACCTAAACCCTACAGTTCTTTTTTGTGTGAATATCACCATGTGCAACCTGCTTTAGGTCTTTTCCTAATTGGAGAGGGAGATCCCTCTCTTCTGCCTTTTAGCCCTGTACTTTTGCCTGCCTTGAAATGGCATACAGATGTCTGTGCTGGCTTTTCAGAGTTGAGGTCCCATCCTTGTAGGTCCCCTGCAAACAAGAAAATTACAGAGCAATTGAGGCTGTCAGTGAAAATGAACAAGGTGATATTGTACTTTTAAATGAAGGTTTCAGTTTATGGGCTGTTGATTCTACGTTATTCACTGGATACGTCCATGCATTTTATTTTATTTTATTTTTTAATTTACTCTCTTTTTGTTCCCTCAAGTAACATGGTGGGATTGTCCTAGAGGGGTCTGGTAAAATAAAGATTAAATTGCATGCAAGTAGCAGTCCTTATTTTGTTATATATGTTTTTGACCAATTTCTAACCATAGAATTAAAATGAGTTTTCTATATTGAATCAGTTCATATCATGCTAATTAGAATTCTTGGTGGTGGGTTGTTTTTTATCTTTTCAGTCAAAACCACTTTTCTAGTTGTCTTGGATCAAAGGCAACTCCTGTCATTACGATCAAATGATTTCATATGTATTCATTCATATTATATATTTTTTCACCACAACCAATGCATCTTCACTGTAGCAAATGTGGGCTGTATGCTTTTCAAAGTTACTCTCTTGTGTAATTATATTTACTTTTTTGGAGTCACATGTTGGATGTGACTGATAAATATATAGAGTACAGTAAGCATTAAATGTATTTTGGAGGCTAGCTAAGTAGTCCAAACTGTGTTAATTCCAACAAAACATCCTAGTGTAAAGGTAATTTACTGGGCTGGGGGTGGCAGGAGCAAGCTTGTAGTGCCTGCAGATGCAGTGTGTGTTCTTTTAGCACTTGATTTGTTTTAAGCTATGGTATTATTCAAACTTTTTTTTTTAACGCTCCTCTCTCTCCCTGCCCCATTTCAACTCTTTCTTCTTGTTATCTTTAACTTTCTGATACAAACTTAATGTGTTTCAGTAAGGAGGAGTTATGTCTGGAGTTAGACATCTGAGGAGTAGAACCTGAGCTTTTTTGAGATCTGCATTGAGTTCACAAAGGACTTGGATAGCTTCACTCATCCCTTCTGTCAGGCATGGCAGGATAGCACTGAAATCTGTCTAAGCCAAGAGAGATGACTTACATCATGGTCTCCTGTGTTTTCCTTGTCTTGGGAGCATGTTAAAATGCTTTCAGTTTAGAAGGAATGAACCTATCCCTAAATGATCTGAACTCCTTTCTTTAGTGTAAGCAGAAATGTTGCAAGCCAATGTGTGATGAAAATGAATGATTTATAGTTTGTTATTGGACTCCTGAGTCTATTTTTATGCTCCTGAACTATTTCCTTTTCAATGTATTCCTATGAAGTTTATTTTTAAAGACCTACCCAGTTTGGAGATGAAGACTGCTACTGAAAAATAGTCTTCAAAAAATAGACTAAATACTGTTAACATGAGCTTCAACCTCAGCTGTTTGTTAAGAGTGTGAAACTTGGAGAAAATCAGGTCATACTCAAACTTTTTGAATGGAATTATTTCTTCAAACTTAGTCACAATCAGTTTGTAACTCTCAAACTTTCTTCCTCTTTTTGGTTAAATATCACCTTGCCTTGAGTAAGCCCTGTAGCATCTAATGGTGTAACTTGAGGGTCAAGCTCTTCACTGCCATGTCCTACACACACTCTTCTTAGTAGGAGCATCCATGCTTGAGTGATATTACGTGACTGGCATGCACCTTTCAAGTTTACAAGAAACGTTATGTGGATAACCTGCATATGTACTTTAATGTGATTAAGATGTGTTTTCTGTGGTATGAAGTACTTGCTTTTTAGTCATACATGGGCGCAGCTCAGTTACATGATGGTGGTGGGAGGAAAGGGGGGAATCCTTTGGCAGCTTTTTGTGAACAGATGCCTTGGGCAATTAATCTGGCTGATGCCCAGCTCTGTGCCTCATCTCCTGACTTTCAGAGCAAAGATGGGACCAAATAAATTGTTCTGGTGATCTGGGTGCGATCTTGAGGCCGTAGGTTGGATACTTCTTTTTTTATTGTATGTGCCATATATTTTTGTTCTT